TGAACTTCTTTGACGATAGAAATACGTTACCAATGGTCTATTTTTCAAATGAAATTCTTCTTTTATATTTTGTCCCATATCTCTTATACTGTCGTAAGAGTGGCGTAGCAAGGTTGTAAACTTTTAATTCCATTCTATTGCAACCTTGACATAACAAATAGGTCAAGTCATTGTTATACGAATACTAACAAAAAGCCCACTAGAACACGTGAGTTATATGATAAAAAATGCAAAAGAAAACATTTTGTTTCCGCATGTTACGACAGCTAATTTTCTGTCTGACATTTTCGTTCAATAATCGCACAAAATAATAATTAACAAATAATTAAAAATTCCTTTTAATTTTTGTTTACATTCGCATAGCATGCTGTCGTTACGTTTTGAACATCTTTTTTTAAGTTTTTACCATTGAAACGGGTTCGCTCTTTTTGGAGCAGAAATCAAGTAAGTATAATAATGAAACTAAAAATTCAGAATAAAATGTCTTCATAAGTGATGAATAGGTGATAATAACTGAATAAGGCAGAAGACTAACTGTCACTTGACTGACGACGGTTGAAAAAGGAAGCCTGAGGGATGATAACGTCAACAAAGACATGGCTAATACTACAAAACTTTACTAAATGAAAGCTTAGGATGAGGAAATCTAATCCCACGTACATCAGGAAGTCGAAAAAGAATAAAAGGCTTCCATAAACGGTAGTAAGGAAATTAATTCTTATTTAACAGATGTAACAAAGAAATTTGAAAGACAATTTAACATATAAATTGGTAAGCCATTGCTTCGTTGGCTAGATCATACAAAAACTATGCTACAGGAACAAAAAACGTTATTGTTTTAGAAACATTTGATTATCTGAATTAGTAATGATATAGATACTACAAGCAAAACAAGGAACGCCCAAATAATTGGTTTAAATCCAATTACGTCTTGCTAATACATCTTTTCAAATAATTCCACTCACTGCTAATTAGGTGATATTTGTGTACAAATTGAAACAAATAAGTGAACAATGGGGGAACAACGACACCCAATTACAGGATTTTCAGTATTGAGGCAACATTTAAGATAATAAACAAGCGAAGTTAATTGAATTAGTTCATAAACTCAACATGGGCATTGTATTCAATTTAATATCATAATATAATATAACTATAGTTTTAAACAGTCTGTCTCTTATTCAAGTATTGCCAAAAGCGTAGTTCTTAAAGAATATGAATAAAATGTAAAAATCATATTTAAATATAATAAACATCTTGCTTGAAACTAATTGGTTCTGTCAAAGTTTCGTCCCAGGTGTTGCTAACGAATCTAAAATTATCTTGAACCTTTATTGGCGGCTCGACTGTGTAAATTAAATGTCTTGCAAAAGTTCGATAGAACAGTATTTCGTAATTCATTCTAATTTATTATTCGTGTTTGACAAGAAGGCTTGATTTTATACGAAACAACCGTCCTTTTGTTAATATCTATGTAAATACATAAATTAATTAAGTAAAGTAAAACAAATTTTCACGTAAAAGGAAATCATGAAGAGGTTACATATGAAAATCAATTCCATTCTTGATCAAAGTTGTGCTGTTACGGTGTAAATTTGTTAATTTTTGAAGACTAAATTTTTGTTACTTCAACTTATGGGTTCTATATTTGGAAAAATTGTTATCGAACTATAAAACGGAAGGCATTGAAATCTTTCTTTTGAAGTCTGAATAGCAATTTACAAATAAATATTATCATGTTTCTTAATATAAATCAGAATTATCATGATACTACTGCCCTTAACCAAGGTGGGGTCGGCACAACAAGTTAATCATGTTGTTAGCTGTTTTGGCTATGTTTATAATGACCGGCTGCATGCTTGAGACCTCGACCCTCCTTGGGAAACACACACCTAGATCCGGGACCATTATTTGTGGGTTACACAAACACTTGTCCCGTATGGGAATCCAACCCACAACCCTTGACTCCGAAGCCAATAGCTAATCAAAAGCGCCATCGCGTCATCAGGAATAATCAGAATATAACAGTATATTAACACATCCTTTCGAAATTATGCAATCAGTTTTAATCAGTGATAAAATGTTTTTGAATACGGTCTATTTTTTCAGTTTTCGTTCTAGAGCAAAAGCTTAGAGGTCAAGCACTGGATGACGTATTTTTTTTTCTCGCAAAAGAATGAACTTGAAATAAAAAGCAAAAATCATCGACACTCTTCTGTTTTCGGGAGCTCCCGATTTCCCACCTGAGCTATTATATCTGAGATGGTTTCGAAATTTACCTTCGTATTCTAATCAATGTTTTAGCTGTTTTTCATTGTCTGAAAACATGGATAAAACGGTGTTCTGTAAAAAAAGAAATCTAGCTAGATCAATTTATCACCACCGAAACCACCCGCATTATGAACATGAAAATCGTTGGAGTCGTTTAGGATAGTTTGGATATACAAGAATTAAAAGGTATTAGATAATGCATTCTTGAGTAGCAGATGCGCACGTATAGCGATGGAGGCACTCTGATCTCTCATTCTGATCATTAAGAAGATCATTCTAATCAATTCAAATAGTTTAACCATTCTTTTGGCAACTCAAATATTTGAAAAGCCATTTGACGGCTGATTAATAAATTTATAGGATGATCAGTATTTCAGAAACCGGGCGTTAGTGTTTCAAAAATGAGGCGAGATAAATAAAACCACACACATGATATGGTAGCACTGCATAAGTGCATTTTATTAACTATGACAATTTTAGCGTACCTTTTAATACCGATCTCATATTCCATACCTTCGCGAAGGCCCGAATACGAATCATTTGTACCTGCTCAAGATTTCGCACTGTTCTATCGGTATTAAAAGGAAACTCAATTTGTTTAATTAACTTCTGTATAACAATCAATGTTAGTCGAAATATCATTTAAATTTCTATAACTACTTTTAAAAATTGTGTATATATCATATCACATGAAAATGTTATTACTGCTCTTTTCTTTAAAACATGTTTCTCAATACCTAAATACTCAGCTGGTAATGTCCTGAATAGTATATAAATTGTTTTCTATTGCTTTTAAATTGTAAGTTTTACTAAGTATATAGTTTATTTTCTACACTTTTTAGTTCGTAAATTCAATATTTTCTATTAATTAGTAAATAAGATTTCAGTGAATGAACGTAGAATCAATCAGGTTTTTTAATGTTATAAAATAATATTCTGAGTTTTGTTCAACTTCTTGTAGTATTCGTTAAACGTAATGGCCCTATATTCAAGATGCGCCACAGGCATATGTTTTGATTTTCTTAATTTAGTAATATAGGAGTTAAATTAGTGTTAACTTCCACTAGCAAAGTTTCATTTGCATTTCACTATTCATCGAAAAATAAAAGCTACAATAAGAGAAAATTTCGTAAAACACGTATTGTCTTTTTTTTTATACCATACCTTAATACTAAAAGTATGCTATTCTAACTACCAATATCCATTATTTATTATTTGTATTTTTGAAATTCGTAAATGATTTAAAAATAAACTAACGATACATTTTGTCCAATGATGTCCATGAACATTTAATAATGCACGTCATATATAAAACATAATTTATGAAGATTTTATAATGGTATAATTGTAAAAACTGTTGTTATTATGCATATCGTTTGATAATTATTTAACGGACCAAAATTAGGCACTAAATCGTAAAGACGACATAATATTATTTTGCGTATATCACCTATTTATTATTTATATATTCTACCTATTATTCAGTCACATCCATCTTAAATAAGCAGTTGCTTAATGCGTAAACGAACCTCCTACCACAAATACTAGGCTTACATAAAATAAGATATCATTGCAAATTATTTTCACCAGTATATTCTACATTGGTGGGATATGGAAGCTGTACTTTAATCAAATCAACATGTATCAAAATATAACATAATTTCAAATAATTTTTGTAAACATTTATAACTGAAACACTTATCTAAATGTTACTAATCTAACTGGAAAATATAACGGGTTACGCTCAAATATCTGAAAATATTAGCCAACTCTGTATGTTCCGCACACTTGTGTCCCAATTTTTCCTCTCTTGAATCAAGATTTTTAATTCGACGAAGTGGTATAAAATAACTACTACTTTTATTTCGACACCTATAATCTGATAAGGCTTCTTTATCATAAACTCCTACGTTAACCTGAAAAAAAAAAGAAAACAAAGATTGTTTATATAAAAATAAATTATAAGATGACATTTATAGTCTTGGCTATTACACATAATCTTAGCAATTAAGGTATACTTAGAATTATCCCTGCTTTCTCTTTAGGCTTTCCAGCAATATAATTTAATGTAAAGTTAATTAAATCCTATTTAAAATATTTAGCTATGGCTCAGTGTCGGCAGCTCCTTTCCTGTTATTACTATAAAAATTTAAAACGCTTGCTCCAAAATTGGGAACCCAATAAGAAATTATGATTATCTCCATCCGTGTCGTCAAAATAAAATACGGAAATTTTTAGACGACACATGTAAAGTCGCTAATGAAGGCAACTTGTCTGTGAATTACAGTTCCTGTAATGTTATATTTAAAAAATTCATTACATACCTTACTTATCAGTGCTTGAACTAAACCACATGAATGGGACATCCTTCCTTTGTCTTGTAATTATCAATAGGTGGTGATATTACGACGTAAGTGTCTCTACTAGTGGCAGCTTGCCTCTCAATATCTTCCCCAGCGAACAGCGGGGGAGGTGGAATGACGTCAGCGTCTACTTCGTCCTCAATAACTTCTTGCTTTCTGCTCCGCCCTGGCATATAGTTCATAACGCATGTCACCGCAATTAAAAACAAGAAGAATATGAACACCACGTCGAACATTATTAGGAAATTCAGCATTACAAGTTGCATCACGTCAAATCTAGCACTGGTCACATTCTGTGCCTCGCTTGGGAAGGAATCCGTCTTTGGCTTTAAGAACTTGTATTAGTCCTGCGAACATTTTAATTCATTTTGCCTCAGTAAGTATTTCATGGCAATGCAGCTTTCGTTTTGTCCCTGAAACAGAAGAAACATCCTTGAAAAATAATGACTTGCTTACTCAACTTTTATATATCTGTGACGTTTGTCTCTTGATTTTCGGTTCTTGGTTTGAATCTTAGAAGCAATCTTAGATATCCTATGTTACAGAATTTCGGCCACCCCAGCAGTCCGCATTAATTTATAGTGTAATGCAGTGAAAAAAATTGTAACGATGTGCAAGTTAATATGCTCGAGTCAAATCTCAGAGCCGGCACCAATAAATATGTTAATTTTAAATAATGACTGCGCTGAATGCGGTGAAGGAATCGTAACAACAACAAATATTTAAAAACCTGTGAAATCCGCCAATCCGCACATGCGGCATCGTGATAGACTATGCCCTAATACCCCCTGTATAGAGAAGGCCCAGCAGTGGGCTACATATACCTTGCTTTACTTTTACCTTAAACCATGTAATTGCTTTTAAGTAAAAGTAAAGCAAGCTGTTAAACCTTGTGTGGATTGCGTAAAATATGTTTACGTTATTAAGTAAATCTGTTATCCCATAACAACTACAATTTATACATTTTTTACAACATATACCAGAAAACGTTAAAATTGAAACATTTGCAAAATTGAAAAAACTTGTAAAGGAACGTTTGTGTATCAAAGTCTATTATATGAAAATAGTGATTATTTAAATGTTAACACACTCTTCAAATTAATTAATCAGAAATTAATATATTGTAAACATGTTTTTTTTTTAAACTTTGTTAAAAAAATCGTTCCACTGAGTTTCTTTCACTGGTTCTTCTGAGGTCACTGGTTTTTTTTTCTAAATAGTAGTGTTACGGTAATAGTGTTTGTTGACAATCAATAAGTAAGTGTAATACTTCTATATTGAACAAAGATATTTGAATTTGAATTACTTCGTTGTCGTCGTTCAGTGCTACACAATTTTATCATAATTTTTTGGGCGTAAGTATTTAGTTACTTTGTATTTAAGACACAAATGATAGATAAATACTAATAACTCGATTCACCCTTTTATAATAGAAACGGCTCGTAAAGATAATATACCTTTGAAGAAATTCTGAAGGAAGCGGTCGATTTCTGAAAATTAAGTCTTTTCGTTGGTGGAACGGGAGACGTTAATGTAGCTGGTTTTTAAATGAGTAAATATATGTTTAAAATTAATTTCATTAAGATTTCTCAAAGCTCCGTTTTGCTGTTATTTCTTTAATGTGGCCTATCAAATATTTTGTGAGCACGACAAAAAATGCAACCAGCCTCTGAAAAACTATTGAAGGATCATAGAATTTTTTTCTGCATACTTCGTCGATTACGATAATAACACAACAATAATTAGTAACACAATTGATATTGCCTTAACGGTGAGAAGTTAACACGTAACGAGTCACGCCATCGGAATCGTTTGGAGGTTTTTTTTTTGTTGGATCGTCCATTGTTGGTTTTGAGGAGGCCTTTACAGATCCACTGGTCTTGAAGTAGCCGGGCACTGTGGGCGCCTGGCTTGTACCTCGATTATGGGTGATTAAGCTCGAGGGCTCTCGAGGGAGCCTCGACTCGGGCCGTCATGCTGTTATTGTTAGTACTGGTTTAGGAGGCCACCAAGCTCTTAGGTCGCTTTGGCGGACGCTCGATGGAGTAACTAGGCTCAAGGGCTCCTGAGGGGGGACCTCGGCATGGTATGTTACTCAATACCCACTTAGCATTCTAATTCGAGGGTACCTGAGAAGGCCGGACCACAGTTTGGAGGGGTAAAATGTTACATGTTATATATTGGAGGAAAGTGAGTCTCAGGCTCAAGTTATCTTCACTCAACTCTGATAATTATATATCTACTTTGTAATTGGTAATTTGTGATTGCTGACTACTATCATAGAATACAAGGAATATCATACTGTATCTTTGCGCTTTAATTGTCTGAGACCTACGCCATGAACCCTGCACCAGAAGCTTCTACCGATTACGGGAGCGCCGCTAATCTATCGCAGTCGCCAATATATACCTATATAGACCAAGCCTACATACCTTTTACTTTTTTATTTTTCCTTCCAAGGAAAACTTTACTTTTCCTTCCTTTGTGAAATATGAATTATCAGTATTTTGACTTTTTATTTGTCTTTTTACAATTACTGATATTTTTACCTTCAGTCCGTAGACTGTTAAAGCTTCATCGAACTTAGAACTCCTAGGGACTATCCAGAACTCACGAGCTTGATACGACCATTCCGGTTGGGTAGCCACACATTTTCTTACATGCGAGCGTTAACCTAAACTGACTGTGTACACTGTGTCACCGATGGCCGATGGTCTTTATGAATCAGCTTGCGGGTGGTGGGAACCATGCGATGTTATTTTTATTTCGTTGTTCTCGTAACCAGTAAAATGGTTTCGTGTGTTAGCACTACGTATGGGTATGGGTAGTTTAGTGCGCACCTGGTGGTTCCGACGTATTTATATCCCCTTTTGGTTTGGTTAACTCTTTGAAGTTTAGGCGAGAGTATACAATCGCTTGCAGGTCGACATTATGCCGATACCACCCAGTGCAATGCTAGGGTAGCGAGGTGGATGAACTTATTTTGAATGACCTGAAGTTTGTACAGGTTTGTGATCCAATGGCATACAAGCCTAGAAAATTATGGGTTGTGTTTATATTGTTAATATACCTATCCTTTCATGAATTGTTGATTAGTCACTTGTTTTGTACGTCCATACGTAACTTTACTTTTAAATTAAGGAATTAGGCATGTCATGTTATTACCAAATGTCAAACTTAATTCTTGAAGATTAATGTTAAAGTTAAATAAAGCATGTCGTTATTTTTGAATGCGCGAATGTTATCTTGCGACTTTATCGTTCGAAATAATTCGAGCAAAGTGCTGCTCTGGAAATCGCCCTGTTAATATCCGTCGTAGGAACGTTTGACTAATATAGCGCACTTAAAATTCAAACGACTTTCGTTCGCGTTATCAAGTTTTGAAATGGTTATTCACAGCTTTCGAATTATGCATCTAAATTCGTTTTTTTTTTTATTTATTTGTAGCACACTGAACATCTTTTCGATTTGAAGTATTTTATTAAACGAATTTATTCTCTGTATTTTAGAATATATTTACACTAATATATTACACTAGTAATTGAAGTTCCGAATTGAATAGAAACAGAATTAGCAAGTGACATTTCACGCTTATTTAAAAACGTATTGGCACAACACAAACCGTATTTATATAGGTACTGAGTGCGACTGATGCGACTCTTGTTTTCAATAGCGCTGAGAAATATATTTAACTGGTAACGGAATAAAGGGAGCTCATTGACATCGACATGCTTCTGTGTGTGTTCTGTCTGTGAATTTTAAACCGCTATTGATTAAATGTAAACGTAAATATTACAGAGATGCGTATTACGTGAGATTGGCTCTGACATTTTATTCAAAATAAAAAAATAATAAAAGAAAGTGTTAAACCAAGAAAGAGCATTAAAACATTTATTGGTGGTCTAAATACATACAGCAAACTTTAAAAAACTAACTTTATATTATAAATTTAAAACTTATTAGTGCATTATAATCATATTTATTTTTGTTATTGAACCAATTTACGAGAGTTATAGAAAAGTAAAAGATATGAAAAGTGGACGAACTAAAATAGCAGTTCATCCGCAAGTTTTCCTCGGTTTAACTTAAACAGCGCCCCCTGAGAGACACCAGTAATCATGACCGACATGTTACATGTGGCTCGACGGAATCAAGATGTTCCACATTTCTCATTTCCTCTTGTTTCCCGTTAAAAGGCATCAAACCCATTTCTACTTTAATTTAAAATAAACAATGACTGCATTGTATATAACTCTGTGCGAATAATATTTTTTGAAAGTTCTTTCAATAACAAAGTTCAATAAAAAATTTCGGTTAAAGAAACATTTACTTACGTAATGTATTAAGCTATTTTTTGTAGGATTGATGGATTTGAAATCTACAAATTGCAATACAAATCTAAAATGTATACTTTTTTTACCTATTCGTAAATCATGTGAGGAGTCCGTTGAACCAACATTAGTAATAATAGATGTAACAGGTTTTGTATTGTATATAATTGCTTTTTGTAGAACTTATAAATGTTAAAATTTCCGATTGGCTCTTAAATAACAATCTCAAGAACTCGAATTAAAAATCGGCCAAAAACCCATTCAAAAATATATACAGGGTGGCGTCTCTAAGCGTGCCCAAATTCACACAGAAGATTCAAACTCGGTAGTATAATCGTTTATTGAAATAAAAACAAACTTATTTTTTTTTAAAAGAAATTCCATTCTATTCCCTAAAAAACAGAACTTTTTTTTTTATGCGAAAAGTTGTCAATCGAGCAGACGGTTCACCTGATGTTAAGTGAATACCGCCGCCCATGGACATCTGCCACACCCGAAGGTTACAGATGCGTCGACAACCTTTTGAAAATTGGGCTCCGGCTACCTCACTCACCAGACGAAACGTGAAAGTATTTGTCATAGTTTCACTTTACGCCAGTCTTTTGTGAGGTCGTGGTACTTCCCCGGACGGATCTGACAGATCCCGTTCGTTAAGCAGCAAAGACTGTTGCATGGCCCTAGCACCATTGAAGTTATAGGCGAACGTACATTTACGATTATTTGTATATATGAAATTTTCTATATCTATACGTAAAAGATCCATTAATCTTCATTCATAAAAGATTGCTAAACTTTCAATTTAAATCTACTACTGTAACTAAGTGATAAATATCAAAAATCCATTTTCGAATGGTCCGAATGTCCATAACAATTTTGCCGTGTCACGGCGGGTTCCTATATCGTGATAAATTGCCCGTCAACTAAAACGCGATAGGTTCGTCCATTAACTAGTATTTATATGAAGTTGCTGCTAGACAGGGGTTAACACTGCTGCACAAAGCTGGGTTCTAATTCAATAAAACTTTCGGGTACAACCTTAGATGTTTATTAAATAACAGGTCGGAAACTAATCTCGCTTATCGCATAGTTTACACATAGTTTGCTTGGTAACTACTTGTCTAAATTGTCTTAACCACAAATTAGTTTGCTATTATAGTTTACCATGAACACGTAAGAGTTCCCACATAATTTAATTTAATTTGTATTAATATGAAAATAATTAATGAAAAAAATTACAGCAGAAATAGAGCAATGTTCGTTTTTAAAATAATCAAATTAATTTTATTACGTTGTTTTCCCCAACAGAACCTCATTCGCTTGAAAAATGGATATGTTAATTTCTATCACGTCATATTTACTATTAGAAAATTATGATAATGCAGATGAATTTATCAGAATTCATCGATTTATACTTTCAAAGGGTAAGTTACTAAAAGTGACGTAAGTTTTCTATTTTATGTAATAACGTTGGATAATGCTCGTATTTTATGAAAGGTGTATAAAACTTCACAAAAGCTACTTGTCCTAGTTTTGTTAGGTTGTTTATGGGAAAACGTTCCGCAATCCCATTATCGGTTCTTCGGTTTCGGGGACTGGGGCTCGTTCTAGACGGAGACATCACCCCAGCCCCTACCCACGCCGTTGTCCAATATAAGGACTAGCAGGAAAAGTTTACCGAGCCCCCGAGATAACTACAAGGAGGAATCGATAGTCGATCCACTGTTCTTAATAAAGTTTCCCCGACTCAGAACGGATTATTCGCCATTACTACTAAATTAGCTTCGAAATTTGGCAATAAATCGCTCGAAATATTTGGAATTACGCTGACTAAAGTAAAGTTCTGAGGCGCTATAAAACGCTCGCTACCAAATAAGGGAGTTTTAATTTATATTCATTACATTTATTTTAACTATCGCATATTAGATGAACGTAATTTTATTGTTTCAGTGTTTAGAAAGTGCATTGATTTTTTAATGTTTTTTTTCACTGAAATCGTAAAAAGTTTATTTGTATAAACTTTTAGTTTTGTATTAAGTTAACGTTATAAAACTAAAAAACTTTATTTCTGTCAAAATACAGATTGTTCAATATTCAGTGTTCAATGGTCTGTCGCTTTTGGTTTGCAGCAGTGCTTGTTTCTGAGCGTATTTTTAAAATACAGACCTGAATCAGACTTTAAAAATTTTTAAACTGTCAGTTTTTTGGATTAACAGTGAAATTCAGATGCGGATGCTACTCTTCGCTTCCTTGTAATAAGCTTTCATTATAAGATTAATGTTTTTTTTTTTCATCATTTTTATGTCCGATGGAAAGGTCGATGACATCGTATTTAATTACGGGTCTGTAAGTCTAAGCCTTGTCTCGCCTTACTTAATCCGATGCAACGCTGTTACAACATGTAATTCCAATAAAGTAAGTCTATAAATTGATTTTCACGGTATTTTCCGTATAGATAATAATCATTAAAATAATTCTCCATATTAGATATTCTTGAGTAACTAGTAAGTAAGTATATGAAGAAAAAAAAATACTCAAGAGATAAAATCGCAATAATATAATTATTAAGCTTTTTTATACATTACAAATGCATAGATCAATTCAAGAATACAACTTTAATTGCACTTTTTTTAGAATTTTACTATTTTATGATAATAATCATGTTTAGTTATTATTTTAAAAGAAATTTTAAATACCTTTTTATTGTTTATAAAATATTTTAGTAGAAGCATTATGCCATTTTAAACTAAGTAATATTTGCTTTACATTATTAATTGCATGTATATGAATTTTAAAAAGTCCAGATTTATACTACGGTGGTAACTTACGAACGTGTTAATTTCTTTGTAAAATTTTGACGTTTCATAATAACGCGCAAGCGTCTATGTGAATTAAGATATTTTATTATTATTATCATTACTATTATTTTGGAAACCACTAAAGAAAATTAACCTATATCAAAAATTGCAATTGGCAACACACATGTCAATATATATCGCAATATCACATCATTATTTTAATATAGTAATTGTGTCTTAGATAATAATTTTTACCACCAAAAAAAAAAAATAAACGCTGCCGTTATAAGTTTTGTACAAAATACTAGTACATATATAAACAGGAAAATAATTACCTCTCGTAAATCGGTTCGGGTAAATACTAGTTGAGTTGAAAAATTCACTGTTCCATGGCGTTGTCGCATTGGCGAGCGCGTTCGCGAACTTCTCTGGAGACGAACGGAGCCGGGTCGAGACGGCTAGTGCGCCGGCCGACGTCGGGCGGCAGACTGCCGGCACACACCCAGTGTTACCAACTGTTCAAAAATATTACTGCTAAATTAATTTGGAAACCAACTAAAGTTAAATAAATTGAAACAGAAACTTCCTAAATTTAAAATCACGATTTTTTATATTATCAAGGCACAATATTAATAGTTTAGGGCGGAATAATTGAAAATATAGTATACAAGACACATAGGCCTTGGCCTGATGTCCACCAAAGCATAGCACAATCAAGTTATATTTTTTGTCAAAAATAAGTAGTTTTGTGTAGTTTTTCTTAAAATAAATTTTTATTTAATTTTTATTAAAATTTTTTCGTAAATAAATTTAACTCCTCAAACTATTCCTTAAAATAATTTACCTCCTAAAAAACTTCCAACGTACATTTTTTCTTCCTAAATTTAGGAATAAAATTCCTTAGTTGGCATCCCTGTACATACCCCGCGCCCCAGTAACCGCCCTCGCTGTTTTCATTTACAAACACCGATGTTACCGTTCGGTGTTTGAGACGAATGCCATTTTTACGAGTGAAAATCCCGTAAATGTCATGTCCAAACGCGTGGCGGCCATGATTGTCGAATTATCCGATAAGCCACATCGCAGCCGTATGTTTTTCGTGAGCTTTTTTTTTATAAACGGAAAAAGTAAAACAGAATAATATTCAGCTTTTTAAAATTTATTATTCAAAATACGTACATATCATTAAAACAGTGAATACAATAGCCATTATTATTTATCTCTATAATATGTTTTTAAGACTGATGCAATTATTCTTCTCTCATTAAATGACACACGAGCATCTGCGTTTTGATTTAACACACAGTGATTTTATTTTAAAGCAGAAACCGCTATTTACATCTCTTTAAAGTTTAATTTCTTCTCAAAAATGTTATTGTGGAACGATTATGATTCCGTATTTATATAACACTTATATTAAAAATATCGAAAAGGAAAAATATGGCAATTACTAAAGCTTTTTATTTGTAATACATTTTATTATTACCGAATTCTTTTTTCTTATTTATATTACAGTCGAAAAACATTAACCATTCTATCGTAATAAAAAAGCATGCATATTTCAAAACACAAATTTGTTGGATTAGGTTACTAACTGTCTGACAAAACTAATTTATGGTTCATACAGATACTTTTCCCGTGTCAAACAAACTCACAATCAAAATCAAACTCACGATCCCCAGCACCGAAAATCACTACCCCACTGAGTTACATTGTTCATTCAATAATGTTTAGTAATCGAATTAATACGCACGAATTAAAAAAATATTGTTTCCTCCTTTATTACTTTATTTTAAATATTTTATGAATAGTTCAACATGATAAAAATTTTATTTGCAAGAGAAATTTTATAAAATACAATTTGAACGCAACGTCCGTCTGTTAACAATACTGTATTCTTTACTCATTTACTGACTGAGTGGCTAATCGATCTATAATCGACAAGAATGTGGTTTTGTGTGCCTTAGGGTTTATTGTTGCGTGAAACAGAAGAAACAGGAACACTTTTATGACAGATTGTGTTTATTCCTAAACTGAATAGATCAAATGGTTTATATTAATGGTTTTTATTCAATTTTATAATCAAATGGTTTAAAACAATAAGTAGAGTTTTTATTAAAAGATAAAGTACGTGCTAACCTTTTTATTTTCAATAGGATTGCATTTATCAACTTTGATTATTTTCAGCTTGTCCTTTGAGGACTAATTTTCAACTTTGACAGAACAGTTCTACGACGAAATTCAAAAGCGGTATTGCCCGCTCTATCGCGAGCGTTTTGTTGATAGACGAAAACAATATCCGCTCTGCTTTCACACCCCTAGGCCAATTACTTACTGCCTCCCGAACGTGCACATCAATCCGTTTTTGTTATAACAATATCTATTATTGGGGATATCTTTGTTGTGTTATGTATGTTTCAATGTCCTATCGGTCTTCCGAAAACCGAAACACTGTGAACGTCTTAATATTTCACATAAGAAGTTTAGTGAGTTAGACAACTCCGATATATGAACGATTTTATTTCTCAATCAGTATTATGTAATTTAGCCACAACACAACAACGTTACTTTCAAGAAACGCGTTAGCATCTGAGTAGAAGTTGTCTAATGAGTTGGGGCACTTGTTGCTTTATGTGTTTTCATCTTACTCGCAATTCTGGACTCCATAAATTTGTTACATTCACGAGTAATTTCGGAGACGAAGTAAGAACGCTGAAACAAGACTTTTATAGACCATAGTACAGATAAAATTTTTTGACCGAAATGCCATCGAGTCCAGTAAGGAAGTCGTAATGTTGTTCGCATCGGTAAGTATGCCTTTGAGTTGGAGCAAAATTGCTTTCCCGTTCTACCAATAACTGCAAATTCTCGATGCAAATCGTTCCCATCATACACTTTCGATCATTTTGGTTTAAACTTGCATAGTACGATTTGTAATAGAGTTTCACATAGAGGAATTGAACATTTTATACATTATTCCATTACGTAATTTTGAACTAATTTAGTAAGCTTATGAGAAATTTAAATAAGGGACATTTAGCTTCTCGAAATAAAATAAATGGCCCACCGATGTCAGTTGTAAGAAATAGCCACTTTTTGAACAAAATATTAAGTTAAATGTAATAAATAATAGCAAAATCCAACCCGGCTTCGCACGGGTGCAAGTCGTACTGTAGTAGATTTTTAAAACTTTATCGTTTTATATATAATAGAGGAAGGTCTTTAGATCTATAAAACATCGCACTCGTGCGAAAATCGTCAGTTTACCCGTGTACCAAAATTACATCCTTACTATTTCTACGTTGTACAGATAATAATAGAAGATAATAATATGAAATAAAGTGCTATGAAATCATTGTGATAAAACGAGTGTAACGTTTTTGGAATTACCAACGCACATTTGGCCGAAGCCTAGTGTCACGTATCAACCCAACCGCTTCTGTTTGAAATTTAATTACGCGTTGAGAGTGACACGTATAGTCTTTTCAACGTTTATTTTCGCAGCACTCATTAAATTAATTATACCAACGGTTCCACTTCTATTCAAAAACTGTTTTGTCTGACTGAGGGTTGACATTGATTAAAAACCAGTTGGTGATCCGGGTTGCGTCTCGATATACAACAACTATCTTATACCTATTAGTTTGCAGACACAATGTTTTATACCAACAAAAAAACAGGCAAAATATAAACACCTTATGTAACATAGTAATATATTAGAAGAGCATTAACTACTTCCAGTTAATCCTTTATTTTTTTTAATCTTTGTAGATCGCTTTAGATATAAGTCTAAAGCGATCTTCAAATTTAAATTAACAACACCCTAATTTAAATACGGAAGAGCGTTGGATGCTACCATTAGCTTCAGATCCTATCATTAATAAAATTAAATCTAGACGCAAACGAATCACTACTGCAAGATATGATACAATTAGTACCTTGTGCGTCCATCGGGCACAAAATAAAAAATAAAATAACTGGTGGTAGCTCGGGCTAACAATGACATTCAGAGGGAAAATGTTGTGAAATAAAATGAAATAAACGCTGTAAATCCTTTAAAACTGGTTAAAAATAATTAAAAATAATTATAATAAAAAAATAAAAATAATTTAATAATGTGTAGCCGCGTAAATACAAACTATAATCTTAATTTAACAAAGCATTTTAAGCAATTTTTAATTATATAGCTTGAAATGGAACTTAAAACTATTGTTATATTATATTTATCCGTTTGTAGTAAAAAAGACGTAATTTTGTTTTAATTAATTTCTACAAACGCCATTATAAGTAGATAATAATATCTTACAAAAGTAGGCTAGACCTATATAAATACAGGCAATTGGATGATTTCAGAGAATCAAATGAAAAAGAAAAATGACAACTACTCCCAAAAATGGAAATAAAACTTTTTTGTTATGATTGCGAACACACACTTGAGCGCAAATTAAATTCGTATGAATATTTCACCTTCGAGTCAAAGTTGCAGAAATTTATCATAAAATTATCACCACATTACAAAATTCAAATAAGGTCTCTTGAGACGTGCTTATGGATTGTTTGAAAAATTGGGTCAGCGCTTGTGACCTCTTCGCAAATTTCAAATATCATTAAAATTATGACGTTGTAAATGGGCAATTCATCACAAATCACGGAGAAGCTGTATTACAAAAGCGGAACAACGTCTCGCTTGCCCCGGCTTTTCTCTTACAAACAACTGATTATTCTGCCTATTTTAAATTTTCTTTATCACAATGTTGATAATAATAAGTATAATTACCGTTGTACTTATAAAGTACTTTTAGTTAGTACTTTTAAAAAGATTAATCATTGGATATATGTACAAATTTTAATAATGCGTTACGAAAGTAAAGATAAAGGCTGAACCTCACATTAAGATTTAACCCTTTTAAATAGCTGTACAAGAGTTACGGTTTTTGATTAGTATTAATTCACACTGATTGGACTATACTGTGATAGGGCCATGCAAAAGTTTGAAGACTCCGTGGCGCAGTTGCCAAGGTATTGGCTTTGGCGTTGGGGGTCGAGTTCCACACGGGACAACTATTTGTGTTACCCACGGATAGTTCTTTCGCATCTGGGTGTTTGTCGGCGTGAAATTTATGTTTGTAAAACGTCCTTACAACACAGGATAATGTTATCCTACAGTAAGAGCCACGTTAAAAAAATACTAATACAAAAATCCAACACAACGCGTCGCAGTTGCACAAAAGGGCAGATAAGTCCGGGTAAGTACCACGACCTCACAGAAGATCGGCGTAAAGTAGGCTTCTCACATAAAAAAGCAGCACTTAAAATTGCAAGTCACAATTCCATTAGTGCCGTTTTGAACTAAGGTTGCTTGCGTATAATTATTAAAAGCTAGCGGCCGGACATTGAACTATCACGGCTCTCCGAGCTATCATGGCTCTATGAGCCATTGACATCCATTTAATTTTTATAAATAATCCTTTTTCTTTTTTTGTCAGAGGAGAGTTCGAGATCTCATTACGGTTTTCGTTAATACTGCGAATCCGCTTCATATGTCCAACTTAAAAGATACGAACTGTGGCATTTTTTATAAAGCGGCGTGAAATAAAACGTTACACATTATAATAATCACATCATATCGCACCGGCGCACTAAAAACGTACATTCGTTCGTATGAAAGGGTTCCGTGCTTTCAATACACGCGTTTAGATTTTTTCAATGCGTTCGAGCAAAGTGTGCCCTCACTAATGAACGCCGTCATAAATTCTCACAAATATTTTCATTTTAACTTTGTGAGCATCACATTACCCGGAGGTAGCCGTTGAAAGTATGCGATGTTAATGAAAGGAATTCCTTTAAAGCACGTGCCCTACGGTAGGCCCGTCCCTTTACGAAAAATGTAGAGGCTTTATAACTTTTAAACATTTTGATTATTATTTTTCTGTATTTTATACATTAAGGATTTATTT